ATCAGATACACGTGGGACAGTCCTCTCCTCCCATATGTGTGCATCGGGCAATTATCAATTACTAAAATAATGTCTTTATATATTAATTTAATAGCGTATATTCATGATACATGACAGGAAAATAACATATTTTTATATCGTAGTTAAGCCTCATTTGAGTCTGACTATGTGCATGTGATATTTAAAGTGGTGGTTCGTATGATATATGAATGATGTATGTAGGAATGGTAAAATGGGTTACAACCCATTAATTCATTCATATTTGTCCCTTTTTTTAATGGTTTTGGATGAATCATATTTAAGATGGGTCAAAAATAGGTTAGGTAATTTTTAACCGCTTAATTTGAGGGCAGGGACGGCTCAATACAATTTGAGATCTTAGGCCAAAAAATAAAGTGACCTTTTAATTAAATCTATCCATATATATATTTATGCTACTAATATGCTAATTATTTGTTTAGTTATTTTTAAACCTATCATTAAAATTTTTCCTAACTCTAGTTCCATCAGTAATTAATTGGCTATGTACTTTCTAATAGTCATATTTAACAATATAAATAAAAATTATAAACAAAATATATAATTTTATGATAACAAAAATTAATAAAACTATAAACTAATTTAAGTTATAGAATAATTTAAAATGATTTCGAGTAATTTGGTCTAATGCTCCAATAAATTATTTAATAGAATATAAGTGTATTCAAAATCTTGTTACGGAGTGAGATTGTGAAATTGTAAATTGTAATCTTGGATAAGATGAAAAAAAATTATAATGAGAGAGGAGAAAAAATATGTGAGGAATAAGAAAAAAAAGAGAAAATAAAAATTAATAGGAGTCTTATAAAAATATGGAAAGTTTCACCAATTTTCATTTATATATATATATATATATATATATATATATATATATATATATATAATATTTAATTTTAATGTGTGTGTATATATGCTGATGTAATGAGGATGAGAGAGAGAAAAAAAAAATAAAAATAAAAATAATACAAGGATAGAAATATTTTGGACGTAATATTAAATTTTGTATTTGTTTAGGTTTAATAATATAAGAAAATAAAATATTTAGGTAAGTTATAATATATAAAGGAAAAAAATTTGGGGCCTTCAAAAAATAGATAAATAATAGAAATCTTTTAGATCTAACTGTCAAATTTTTCTATATTTTGAAGTTTAATAATTAAAGAAAATACTATCACTGTTTTAAGAAAGTTATAATATATAAAGAAATAAAATTTATGGAGCCTTCTTATTGGTTGGGGCTTTAGGCAACCGCCTAACTCGCCTAAGGCCCGAGCCGGCCCTATTTGAGGGTACCCATATTTCACCCATCACATAATAGACGCATACATATCTATTCTATATTGCACTCAACTCATTTCTCTATATAAAATTCTCTAACTCACTATCCTCTTTTGAGATTGTTTTTTTTTATTTGTTATTAAATAAAATTTTAAAACCTTTTGAAAAAAAAATTAAAAATAAAATAATTAAAAAAAATTTAAAAATTTAAAAAAACTAAAAATTTTAAAAATTAAAAAATAAATTTAAAAAATAAATAAATAAAAATAGTTAAGCAATAATAATTAATTGGCTCACAGGTCATAACAACTTGACCCTTACATTTTTTATCCGCCTATTTTTAACCTGTTCCAAACAGGTTGAATATGGGTCTTAACCCATGTTAGACCCACCCATTTTCAACCCAGCCCAAACCCGACCCAACCCGCCCATTTGCCACCCCTAGATACATGTATTAAAGATACATGATTATACATGTGCGGTATGTACGTTAAGGGCTAATTAGTGACAAAATTATAATTTTGCAAAAGTTCAAGTTCATCTTTTTTTATTTTTTTTTAACAATATTTAAGTCTGAGGATCTATACTATACTCACCGCTGATGTGGACCAATAATAAATGGACACATTCTATTTTAATTACCAAATCATAAATGGTAATTAAATCAAGTGAATATCTACCCCCACCAAATTTGATTTGGTAATTAAAGATGACATACTTATTTATTATTAGTCCACATGAACAGTGATTATGGTGTAGATCCTCACTAGTGGGGACCTAAAAGCATCTCTAACCATTGTATATATTTGTTTTGGACAATACTTAGGTCCTTACTAGTCTTCTACAATTACTCATCGCTGATGTGGTCCAATAATAAATTGACATGTGATCTTTAATTACCAAATCAAACATGGTGGGTAGATATTCACTTACTAAATCAGAGATAGTGATTTGATTACCATCTTTAATTTGGTAATTAAAATAGAACGTGTCAATTTATTATTAGTCCACATCAGCGGTAAGTATATTATAGATCCTGACTAGTGAAGACTTAAGTATTGTCCCTTTTTTTTTTTTTTTTTTTTTTTTTTTTTTTTTTTTTTTTTTTTTTGTAAATATGATATGTCATAATATATTTACACAAAACTTTTGAATTATTTATTTTTAGCTCAAGCGGTTGTTTTTAGACCTTTCGTGTAAAAATGTATCCCTCAATAACAACCAACCAGTGTTATGCTTGATCACACATAAGTTTTACAAACTTACTTAATATAGGGTTGATTAGTTAATAGAATGAGAAAGATGGAGGAGAAATGAAATATACTGATATGGTTGTGTAAAAATGTGGTGTAAAATACATAATAATTTTACATATCGGTAACCTGACAATGTATTTTAACAAATTGCTGGAGATAAAAAAAAATTTACACATCATAAGTGACAGTGTATATTTTATACAAAAGAGTATTTTAACGTACTGCTGGAGATACTCTAAGGATTGTTGGAGACAATATTCGCACTCCACTTTTCATCAATTCCACTACATTTACTTTTTTTTCTTTTCAAAAAAATGACAAGAAAGTCCTTGAATTTATTAATGCACATTCCTTTATTTTATAATTTAATGAGAACTACCCTTTATATAACTTTAACTTTTTTCTACCCTCTTTACTTCCTTTACTAAAGTTTTTTTTTTTTTTGGAAGTACTCTCAAAGAAGATAATTTATTCCATACTGATAATTTTATTTTTCGCAGTCAAAAGAGAGAGAATTTATTCCATAGTGACTTTTTTTTTCTGTTAAAATTGAAACAGATAGTTTATTCAATAAAGAGGTGAAAAAACAATTAATTCAATAAAGTTAACATTTTTTCAATCCTGCCAAAATAGGTAACTTTTTTTTTTTTTTTGGTAATTTTTTTATGGATCCTGTCAAAAGAAATTATTTATTCAATAAAAATAAACTTTTTTTTTTTTTTTTTTTTTTTTTTTTTTTGGGTTTTATCAAAAGAGATAACTTATTTAATAGAAATATATATTTTTTAATCCTCATTGTTTTGTACTTTTTTTAAAAAAATTTTATCTTGACAAAAGAGATAATTCTTCAATAAATTTATATTTTTGGGTTTTTTTTTTCCTGTCAACAGAGATAATTTTTTTAACGGTTACTTTTTTTTTCTTTTTTTTTTTTTTATTTTTGCCGATACGGTCAAAAGAGGCAATTTAGTCAACATAATTTTTTTTTTATTGGTCTAAAAGAAAAACAAAATTTATTCAAAGTTTTTTTTTTTCTTGTTAAAAAAGACTTAAAATATTAAAAATTTAGTTAAAAGGAGATGAAATCTGAAAGGGTAGTTGTATCATTTAAAAAAATAATAATCATTTACTTGTAAAGTTAGAGTTAGAATTGTCATTTCATTTAAAATTGTAGTGCAATTGGAGAAAAGTGGAGTGTGAATATTGCCTCCCCTTTTTTAATAGTGAATTAGTTACTTTAAATATCATTAAGCTAACTAGTGGCAAAATTATGATTTTACAACAGTTAAAGTCACTATTGTATTTATAATGAATTAGTTATTTTAAATTGAAATAACATAAAATTTGTGGTTGTATTAAATTGCATAATATTTTGAATTTGGAAATTTATTTCATTAATGGGGTCTGTGTGAAAGAATTATATATTATCTTCTACTGTGTTACTAGTTAATGTTTTATTTCGTGCAATAATAGACTATAGTTGATTTTGATGAACAATTAACAAATAATATATATATATATATATGTGTGTGTGTGTGTGAATAATGTGACAGTCACCTATTGATGTAATTTGGTTATTGATTTTGTTACTCATTGGTATATATAAAATGATATATGATAAAGAGAATTCAAAATTAGTAGAATAATTCAATTAGCTCAATAGCCACGTATAAGCAGATAAGACGGGTCCCGTTTGAATTTGAAGTTAGATTAAAGATAAGTCGTTGTTGCACATTTATATTTCTAAGGGGCAACCATAATTTCAATAGCGAGATGGTTCCAGATGATAAGATTACAAAGATAACTATTAATTCTAATTCAAATTCAAGATGGGATTTCTAAGAATCCTACAGGATCACAACAGCTCAAGTTACTAGTTATAAAGAACTGGCCAAACCAAAGAGGTACGAAATATTGAACACATTAAATTCCTACTTTTACTTGAGAGCTCCATTGACTAACTTGATTGTAATGTCACCGATTTTCCCTATTTTCTATTTTCGAAAATTTGTTTAATTTTTCTGAATTATTTTAATTCTTGCCTTGTTTTACGTGCCACACGGGCCTCGAGGGGCGTTTTGGTCAAAAAAATTTAGTCGAAGGTTTTAGAAGTGTATTTTTAATCATTTTAAGTCAATTAGAAGTGACGGTTTCATTTTTAGAATTTTTCAAAAGTCGAGACGATTTTCGAACTCAGGAACTTCTCCCGGTTTTGTCATTTTAAGAAAGGGGTATAATGGACTTTTCTCACATATATGTGTACATCTATATCTATTTATTAAAGGGAGATATTTATGGGGTGTAGATGGTATTGTGTATAAGGTGTATGGGCATATTGGTAATTTAAGCAAAAGTGGTAACCATAGAATAGTGACATGTGGCACATTTTTAGCCTTGGAAACAAAATGTAAAACAAGCCATCACCACCTCCTCCCCCTATTTTCGGCAGACACCCTCTCTCTTTCTAATTCCTTATCTTTTTCTCTCTATATCTCTATATCTATACATAACTCTTGTTCTTCATAGACTAAAGCTTTGATTTATAGAGTTTAAGGTGGGATTTTGAGGGAAAGGAAGAAGGGAAGTTGAAGAGCTTGGCATGAGCTTCAAATTGAGGCCAATATTGCTAGGGTTTTGAAGGATTGAAAATTTGGGGCTTGCTAAGGGTTTGTTTGGCTAATCATCTTGAGGTAGGAGAAGTTTAAATTATTAGTCCTATGGTTTTAATGAACTTCTATGTATATTCTTAAATGAAATCTTGTTGTTGTGTAACTTGCTTTGTTTTGTAAAGTTTTGGGTTGTGGTGTTCAAGCATGATATATGGTTGATTATGTGGTTTGAGATGTAGTTAATGTGTTTTTATGCTAATTGTGCATAACATGCTATTTTCCATGTTGAAATGTGAAAGTATAGCTTGTATGTTTGTCTTATGTTTTGTATATCATGAGTGATGATATTGATTTAAATTCATGAATGATATTTCAATGATTAATGGCATAAGTTCATGTATTTTTCATTGGGAAAATTGAGCTTGTGAAATTGAACTCATGGTGTGGGAATGAAGGATGAGAAGTGATTTGATGTGGTGGTGTAAGTTGGGTTAAGAAGTGAGATGATGGTTGTGAAAGGTTTGATGAGATTTGGGTTGGAAGGAAAGAGGAGGGTGATTGCATCTCATGTGTTGAAATGATTTATGAATTTATTGAAATTAATGTTTGATATTATGGTTGACATTCCCATGATCCCTTCTTCTTATTCTCATCTTCTTTGGTTGTGGTTCACGGAATTTTTAGGAATATAATTTAAGCTTTCTCTACTGAGATGTTGAGCTCGCCCTATCATTATTAACATTTTTCAGGAATGCGGAGACGAGCTGGTAAATGATGTATATCCATGGACATTGATGTAACTAGGAATCCATTTCATTTTATACATATTAAAGCTATGTAAATTTTGGCCATGGAGGCCTCATTCCTTGTATTTTATTCTTTGGAAGTTGTATAAACTGAGATTTTGTATAACTCAATCTTTAAATGATGTAATGGGCTTGTATCCGATTTATTTGAATGTATGAGAGTTTAATTATGTTTTATATACTGTTAAATGAAAGATTTGGGGCAGGCTTGGGCTTGGGATAAGGTTACATAAGGACCAAAGTAGTGCAAATATGTAAAAATTCAAGATTTTGAGCTTTCTGGGGCATTTTCAGGGTTCTGGGCTTCTTGAACCGGTTCAGCCCCTTTGAATTGGTTCAAGGGGGTGCTAATGGTTCTCAAGTGGGCATACTACCCATCTTGAACCGGTTCAAGTCCTCCAGTATGCTCAATTTGCCTTTACAGCTTGCCAGCTTTGATCACTTAATTTTAGACGATCATAACTTCTTCATTCTAAACCCAAATTAGGTCATTCTTGAGTCCATTTTCAAGGATTTTGAGTTAGCTTTCTAATGAGACCAACATTATCTTAAAATTCCATTCATGTTGAGAGTTATGGTGGTTTTAGTGGAATAGTGTCGGAATTAGCCTTGAACCGGGTAACGGTACTTTTGGGAATTTATATTCGGTGACAGTAGAACCTCACCGAGCATCATGGAATGACTAGAATATTTGTTTAAAACCTCATTTTCCTAGTTTAAAAATGGATTATTTTTTCATATTGTAAAAAGACCATTTTACCCCTAATATGTCATCGGGTTCAGGTAAGGACCCGGTTAGCGATCCGGACCTTCGATTTGGGTCATTACAAAATTGGTATCAGAGCTTTAGGTTAAAAAACCTAAGGACAATGGGTAGTGTTTACCTAGAGGAGTTAGAATTGGGTTTGACGGTGTTACATGCTTATGTGGCTGGGTCTTGTTTAGTTAAAAAGCATGATTTGTTGTTTGATGAATAAGGAAGCAAGCCTATTTGCTAAATGCTTACGTGAAATCACTTATATGATTAATGAAATTGTTAAATTTGTTTAAAGTATGCCTAATTGTTGATGCTAAATGCTTATGTGCAACAACTTGTATGAATAAATTTGTTTAAAGCATACTGGACTTGCTACATGGTTAATTATTAATGGTTTATTGTTAATGAAAACATGTTTAGTTGACTACGTGCTTAATTGTTAAGTGTTTATTTTTATTAAAATCATGTTATACAAGTTCTTATTGCAAGTAATTGAGCACGAGTTAGGTAAAGCATATATTATAGGATAGGACAACTTCATTTGGAACACGATAGTTATGACCCTATTTAGGGACGTAGTTGAACGCTTAGGTTTATGTTGTGGTCGTTCATCCACTAGGGAGTGGATGTTTGTGTCACTAGTTTGTTTCGTTATTGACGAGTTTGAGGTTTTATGGCAGTGCTGTGTTGGCTTACGAAGGGTTTTAACCCACGTATATAACAGGCTTGATCACTTCTATGTTTTTGAATGTTTTAGTTCTTATCGAACGAATTGTGTGTGCACTGTAGCTCGTGGATTGAGCTACTTCATGTATCGTTATTTTGATCATTTAGTTGCTTTTGTAGTACCGAGCTTAAAGACTACGTGAAGTGATGAATCTGGATGAAGTTGGGGAGCGTGCAGGTGAAGGGCCAACCCAGCCGAATAGGGTTTCACTAAGATAGGGCCGAGTTAGAGAACTGGATGATAATTCACAAGTACCAGAGGACGATGTTCCATTAGTGAGGGCTATAGCCTCAGCCTTTCAGAATTTAGCAAGCACCACAGCTTCTTAAGTGGTACCGCAACCAGCTATTTAGCTACAAGAGACATAGATGGAGCAGAACCTTAAGTACCTACTTCAGTTTAACAAACTTATGAAAGTAACATTTGAGGGAGGTCCAGACCCATTGGTAGCGGGCGATTATTTAGATGAAGTTGAAAAGCATTTCAGGACAATAGAAGTGCCCAATGATGGGTTGAAGATCACCTTAATCACGTATAAGTTTGTTAGAGATGCGGTAGTATGGTGGAAAACCATGACTAGTGCGCATGATATTGATAGTATGAGTTGGGATGCATTCAAGAGTCTTTTCTTTGATAAGTATTTCTTGCAGACCAAGAGACGGGAATTGAGGACGTAGTTTAATGGGCTTAAACAAGGTGACATGTCAGTGACAGAGTATGATAATAAGTTCACTTCTCTTTTACGTTTTACTACAGATGTGTTAGGGAACGAAGAAGAGAAGATATGTCGATTTGTGTACAGCCTTAATCGTTTTATTAGGCCGGGGGTGAAACTTTTGGGATTAAAAATTATTCGAAAGTGGTTACGAGAGCATTGATGGCAGAAACAGAAGCCAAAGATTGGCAAGAAATGAGTGGTATTGTGGGTTCTCAAGGACAAGGTACAAGTGTGGGTACTTCTTCTAGGAGCCAGGATAAAAAGAGGTACAGAGGTGTTTCGTTGTTTTCTCAAGAGCAGTGGATGACAAATGCTACTCTTATTGATGGTGTTTCTTCAGAGCCTTCTAGGACAAGTTTGGTGTGTTATCACTGTAAGTAGCGAAGACACCGTAAGGCAGAGTGTTCTCTTGATAGACCTATCTCCGGAGTTTGTTTTCGGTGTGGTCAGTCGGGCCACATGAAGAGGGATTGTCCATAGAAGAAATGAGACATTACTGTGATTGATTCTTGTGTAATGTGGGATACCTGTGAGATTAGGCAGTTGCCTGTGCACAGTTGTGTTGGATGTAAGGGGGGCTACCTGTGAGTTTTGTAACAGGGGTTACCTGTGACTGTGTTGTAATAGGGAATACCTGTGAGTCGTGTCGGTTGTAACGGGGGACACCTATGAGCCGACTTGTGTTGTAACAGGGGATACCTGTGAGTCGTGTGGTGTTGTAACGGGGGCTACCTGTGAGTCATGTCGTATTGTAATGGGGGACACCTGTGAGTCATGTCATGTTGTAATGGGGGACACCTGTGAGTCATGTTGCATGGTTGTCTGTGAGTCGTGTTATATGGTTGTTCATGAGTCATGTTGCATAGTTATTTAGGAGTCATGTCGCATTATCATATGTGCGTTTTGTTATGTTGTTGTCAGTGCATCGTGTCGTGTTATAACGGGGGCTACCTGTGAGTTGTGTTGTGTCATAACGAGGGATACCTATGAGTCTGGTGCAGTAACAGGGGCTACCTATGACTGTGTAGTGGGGGATACTTGCAAGTTCTGTAGTGAGGGATACCTACTAGTTTGGGTGTGACAGGAGATGCTTGCACACAATTGTTTTGGTAATGGGGGCTACCCGTGATTTTGGACAGGTACCTGTGCACTTTGTATAGTGTTGGGTTCATCTGTGCCAAGATGATGGATATATCCCGTAGTGTAGTTTCGGACTGGGTAATGTTAATGATGCTTAGTGTGAGCCCTTGGGGTAGGATATAGATCGAGAGGTTTTGTATGGGTTTCATGTCATAATGATGTATCAGTTGTGACCATTATGTATTAAAGCAATGATATGTTTGTAAGACTATATGAGTATTCCAAAAGTTTTATTGAATAACAATGTGTATTTCATGAGCAGTTGAGCTCTTATGGCATTGCCTTTGTTAATGAATTGGTGACAAAAAGGGTTTTTAGCCATGTTACTCTAAAGGTTTTTGATGTGGTTGTTGGTGTTACGTAGTTGTTTCTATGAATAGAAGATGTAGATTACCACTTGTTAGGTTCTTCCTTGGGCAGGATAGGATGCGATGTCCTAGGATTCATTGTTTAGCTCTAACAATTCTGGAAGGGGCACTGTTCTCTTTTACGTATAGATGTTAGGTGTACGAGTTACAGATCGGGCTGTTTCACCTCCGTTTAGTTCCTCTTTCTTGGCATAGCTTATGCAAGGTATTGATAGGTGCGTGTTCTGTTCTATTGCAGTATGACTTAATCTTCTTTCTTCTTATGTTGGTCCTGGCAAGGACCTGGTCGTCTGTAAGTATTGTATCTCCACATAAGAGTTCTGCGTGTCAGTAGGCGAAGGAACTTTTTAGAGTTCCCTTTCTTGTTAGGATTCCGAGTGAGGGTTTGTTCTGTATCGTTTGACTTACCTCCATGGCAGGAGGTGAAGTCCTTGGTTTTGTAGGAATTGTTCCGAGAGGTTATGACCGATGCGATGTGAGACGTGATTTGTTTACCGGGGTGTACGTTTTCTTAAGATCTTGGAGCTAGCAGTGGTGCCTAGTAGCTGTGATTTTACTCGTGTGTTGAGGATGGTTAGACTGTGTGTCTAGATTAGATATAGAGATTGATGTATGTGTATGCTTAAAGGCTAGACCTGAGGACGAGAACGACGTTGGTGTTGAGGTCAGATCGACGATAGGAATGGCTTGGCCAACCATTTCTCTGAGTCAATCTTTCCCTTAATATAATGTCGGGTCAAAGGTCAATGATCATTGATTCTAGTATGCATGGTGACAGTTAGAGTACGGTATTGTGCATTACGTACTTATGGCGGTACGATTCCATTTTATAATAATTCTTGTTTGGGATTGATGGTATTCTTTGTACATGTTCAGGTGACTTGGTGTGGGACTATGTGTCCAAGGAGTTTCAGTTGTTAGATAAGTGGATCCTTGAGCTATGCTGATGGGTTGTTTTCCCAGGTACCTGATTAGTACATTTAACAGGTCGGATGGTTATCTCGATTGCAGTCGTGGGTGTTTAGTTATGATATAGCTATTGAAGGTAACAATCATAAGGGATGGTTTTAAGAGTTTCTTTGGGATCACGAGTGAACTCGCTTATTGGTTCGTTGAGGCGCTGTTAGTTGGACCTACCTCGAATAGGATCCAATAATTTTTGGAGAGATGTCTTACCCCTAAAGCTTAGGTATTCTAGGACCTTTATCTATCTTATTTTCTCGTTTTAGATTAATTTTATGTTATTTCCCTTTTTAGGCACTTATCCCAAAAATAAGTTAATTCAGCTAAATAAGAGCTTAAAAGGCACTAACTCAAGCTGGATGGAAGAAAGGAGCAAAGTGGAAGCAGAATGAAGCAAAATGTGGAAATCAGCAAGTTTGATCGATCTCAACATCACTTCGATCGATCGAAGAAGCATCGATCTAGGCATTTCAAGATGGATCCAAGCAACTGACCTTATCCAAAAG